ACATTATTAATACCATCCCACCCACCCTTATTAATTTCTTCTACCATCCCAAGTACCATTCATCTTTAAAGAGCTACCCGCTGTAATTTTTTTTTGTTTTGGTATTAACCCGTCATATTCAGAAATTACATTAAATTTTAATTAATTCGGAGTTGAATCATGTCAAACCTCATATAAAAAAAATTCTTATAATATTTATTTTTTTTATTTATAAAACTTAAATTCAAAATTTTATTTAAAAAGAATCAAACCCCTTCCACTTTGATCAAGAAATAATTCATTACAGTTGTTATTAGTTGTGTATCTAACTTGGTTTGACACTTTTACGGGAAGTATTTATGGAATTTTACAACATATGTCCTTAATTATAGATTAAGGATATATTTATTATATATTTTATTATTAATTTATATAAAAAATATATAAATTAATTTTAATTTTATCAAATATTTAATTAATATATTTTAAGTGAAACGATATTGAAATTAATTTTTTTTTTCATAAACTTTTATATAAATTAATGAGAAAATATATTTATAAATATATTTTTAACCTATCTAAAGATATTACCCCCAAAAAAATCTATATCTAAAGAAAAAAGTTTAAAAAACCCATTAGTAAAATGTAAATGATAACGTAATTCTATTTGAGCAATTTTGTTTTATTAATTTTGTTTTCTAGTATCATTTATTTATGAAAATGTGGAAATTCAAAACATTTTGATATTAAAATATTTAATGAAAATCACATGATAAGTAAGATATAATGTGAATCTCATTTAAATTATATTTATTATGTGAGTAAGATTTAAACATCTTGATATTTTTGATATCATAGGATCATTATTTTCAGTTATTTACTGATTTATTTTGCAAAATATCAAGTTAAACTACATACAAAATGTCAAATTAAGACAATTAATTTGGACTAAATAATGTATTTCCATTTGCTTTTAGTAATTAGAAATTGATTAATAATTTTATTTTAGAACAAGCTCAAAGGCCTTCAAGTTGCCAATTATGCTTGTTGTCACCTTATTCATGTATTTTTTATTTTAAGAAACAAAATCTTACTTCATGATGAAGACTGGTCTCAATATTTCCAGTTGTTTGAATTGGATGATTAAAACAAACAAACAAACAAACAAACAAACAAAGCTTCATGGGACACACTATTCACAATTTCCCAATAAGGTGGTAGTAGCATATAATAGAGGAGAAGACTAGATATTTGTGTTCCATTTTTCTCAAATGAAGAGACATTGGGAAGGTAAACAGTAAACAATTGAATAATATTGCCTTGCAATTTTGTCTCCATCTTGTCCCAAGAGAAAGTAAAGGACAGAGGAAGAAGAAAGTAAGCAAAACCAGCTATAACTCCATCAATATGCGTGGGTCATGCCGGTCACATCCCATATGTTACTTCTTTTCATTGATTTTTATGGGATATGTTCATGGTCACGCTATATTTTATTAGATTTACTTATATTTGCTAATATTTTTCCGGATTAATTTTATTTATTTTAATTATTAAAAATAATTAACATTTATTTTAATATTTTTTAACATTATAACTATAATTATCTAAGAAAGAAATATAAAAAAAATCAATTATATTAAATTAAAACACAATAATTTATATAAT